TTCATGACATACTAGTCAGTCATGAAGTCTATCTCAAGCGCCTCGAGGCCTCCTCTGCATCTCTTGTGGTGACTACTAATCCTGTTGCACGTTGTGATGGGGTTCAACCTACCCGTTTCATTGGTCCCCGTCACACTCGCTCTTCGAGTCAGATTGACTAGTAGGCCCATCGGTTCAACAAGTCCCGACATAAGCCCATATGTCAATATTGTGATGATATTGGACACATTACTAAATATTGTCCAAAACTACAGATCGCTGCAACTAATTGTGTTGGCCGCTCCAAAGGGAAGTCTACAAAATGGTTGCTAGACTCTAGTGCCTCTCATAACATTACCTTGGAGCTTGGTAATTTATCTATCCATTCTGAGTATGATGGCACTGATGCTGTGGTAATTGGTGATGGTTCAGGTTTACCCATTACTCATATTGGCTTCCTTATTTTACATTTGCCTACTCATAATTTTAAACTCAATGACACATTATTTGTTCCGGACATTCATAAAATCTCATCTCTGTGCATCAATTCACCAAAAAAAATAATAATGTACTAATTGAGTTTCATCCTGATTATTTTTTGGTGAAGGATTGGACAACAGGGACGATTCTACTTCGAGGAAGGTGTGAACAAGGCATTTACCCATTACCTACTACACTACCAGACCCGCTCATTCCCATTGTATCCAATGTTAGTGAGAAAACCTCTAGTGTCATTTGGCATCGTCGTCTAGGGCATCCTCACCACCGCCTAGTCTCTAAAATAATTTCACAACATTCTCTTCCTTTAAGTACTCCAATTATGTCACAAGTTTGTCATCCTTGTCATATTAATAAAAGTCATCAATTGTCTTTTCATTCTAGTACTATTCATACAACAGCTCCATTTGAATATATTTATTCTGATGTTTGGGGACCGGCATCTGTCCCATCTCACGAGGGCCACAAATACTATGTCATATTCATTGATCATTTCACACGCTATTGTTGGTTCTTTCCCATGCATCAAAAATCAGAAGTTCATAAAATCTTTCCCCAATTACATGTCCTCCTGGAAAAGCAATTCGGTCGACCCATTAAAAATTTGTACAATGACAATGGTTGTGAATATACAGGACTTAAATCTTGTCTCCAAGCCCATGGAATAGGTCACTATACAACACCCCCTCCCC